CGAAGTTTTATGATACAGGAATCTATGGCCAAACAAGAAGCTCTTGTTACTTTTGCTTTATTTTTTCCTAGCTGCCATGTATAAAGAACTTCATGATATTGGAACTAGAAAGCATTTGTGTCACTTTTTATTTCTGTCCTTTAATTCCAGATAGAAAAAAAAAAAAAAAGCCCTCTCACTGTCATACAAACTTCTAATTTTATGTTCCACCCCTAATCAAGAATTTCTTTAACCCAGGTACGTTCCCCAATCACCCTCAGATGGGACTTTTAGAGAATTCTCCAGCATGGCCTGGTTGGCCACACAATCACCTCTTTGTCTTATTTCTAAGTGGTGGACAATTTTCCCAAAGAGATCGCTCCCTGACCCACAGCCGAGGTGAGGTGCGGCTCCTCTGGGCTAGCATAGCACCTGAGCCCTCTTATCACAGTCTGGTCTTCCACGTGAACACCTGTTTGTGAGGCCTCCTTCTCCACACTATGGCCTACATAAGATTGGAGATGTCTGTTATCCACTGTTGGATCCCTGAAGTGCCTGTATAAACATTTGTTGAATGAATGTATCAGTGGACTGTTTCCTCATATAACCAAGGCCACTGTTTCCTGTCCTTAGCAGTGCCAGAATTTTAGGGTGTGTTGTTACCCAGCCACTCAAATGATTCCTATAAAGTAGCCTGCTGGGCTTGAACGGTACTGGCTGCTGAGAGCTGATTCTGAGCATTTCTTTCCAACTCTGTGCTCAGGGACCACACATTGCACGTGGTGGGAATATGTACATCGGCAAGTGCAAAAAATCATGGCTTTGTTTTTGGGAGCCAGTTTATCAACACTTCACAGAGTCTACTCATGACTGCTCCAAAGACTACTGTTTGGAACTGTTGACTTAGGGTGGGGTCGGCAAACAATGACCTGTACACCAAATCCATCCTGCTGCCTATTCTTGTACTGCCCACGGGCTAAAAATAGTATTTTACATTTTAAAGAATTTGTAAAAGAAGGAGGAAAGAGAAGAGAAGAGGAGGAAAGAAAAGGAAGACAAGGGGGAGAAAGACAAGAAGGAACAGAAGTGATAGAGATTGCATATGGCCCACAAACCCTGACATGTTTAATATCTAGCATTCTGTGGGAAACTTTTGCTTACCTCTGACCCAGGGAAGCTTCTAAATTCATCTTATTAAAGTCCCCTTGGAGAGCTCATAATAAATTTTAATTTTGAATCTTCTAATACCTGAGGTGGCAGCTGGAGAATCTGTGTACTGTAGCAGCTCCCCAAAGGACGCACGTATTCCTGTCTGCAGTTCCAGGTCCCCTGGGTGTCCCGGCTTGCCTCAATTTCCACTCCAGCCTGGTCCCAGCCACCCTTGCGTTCCAAGGTGAGGGTCTCTTTAGGACTGGAATGGATCTGAAAGCCATTATTTTGTCTGGAAGCTAATGAGAGGAGTGGGCAGGACTTCAAAGTGGCATGACTCTAGAACAGGAGTGTCAGAGGCGTGCTGATAGCAGAGCTTCCCCACCCTTGGAAGTGCCTGGAGCCCACCAAAGACACTGGGCAGAAATGCTCCTACTTCAAAGTAAACTGGGTGGGGGAGAAATTGTTAACTGTGTCTGAGCACGGAGGAGCATTTAGGAATTTGATTTGCCATCACTCTGAGTACTGCAGGAAAAGAAGAGGGTGCAGGGTTTTGGAAGATGCCCACCTCACCTGTTGTACATTCTTGCTTTGAGATATGATTATAAAAGAGTGTGGTGAATCGTTTTCATCTGATGTCGCAGAGCCAATAACACAACTGTGGAGACTTGACAGAATGCATCCTCTTGGAAGGGTGCCATTGCACCACAAGTTGTGAGACTTCTTGGGGAGTCACTTCCAGGGCCTGCAGCAAATTCTTTTGAATTTATTTGGAGTTGGTATTTTTCCTTTGAGGATAGGTTGCTTTTAAGAAATAATCAAAATTCAGTTGGAGTCAAATGGATTGATATAATTTGTAATTAAAAATCTAATAATTTATACAAAGTAAGAAAGAGTGGGAATACAATAGAGGCAGTGTGGCTTAGAGATTAAGGGTAGGGATTCTGGAGCCAGATTGTCTAGGCTCAAAGCCAGCTCTGTCATTTACCAGCTGTTCAAACAAAATAAATCTTGTTTCTTATTTTGCTCATCTGCAAAATGGGGATCATTCAGGTATTTACCTCATCAAGCCATTATGAGGATTAATGAATCTATACACATATATTTTTGTATGGTTGTGTATACACACATGTATATATGTGTGGCTAGGATCTTCGTTGCTAGAAGTGGCGGAGTCCTTGTTTAGTATATACTATTTTGGAAACTTTAAAGAAATTTTAGAAATGCTTTGGACTGTGACAGCAGCATAATTGTATTCACCCCGAAACTTTCGCCCTTGGATGTTTTGGAGGACTAGTTCAGATACATGTGGGCTATATTAAGATGGATTTCCAAACCTTGATTTCTCTATGCTGCCTAAAGAGGATGCTGGCTTTGCTCGGCCTATGTCCCCATCCTCATTGCAGGTCAACTCTTACCAGAAGATTTCTCCTGAGCTTGTAAGGCAGAGTGGGAAGCAAAGGAGGAGAAGGAAGGCTGGCAGGAGGCAGAATTTCCATATGGAAATGATGGGCTGCTGGAATGTTGGAAGTGGTGAACCTGGGTCTGTATTAGACACGGCACATAACTATTGTCAGTATTAAGGATGAAGGGAGAGACGAAGGCTGCAGGCATTTGGGTTCTCTTTAGCACTTTCTAGGGGGATTGGTAGTTGAAGATGAGAGAATAGGAGCAGAATGTGTGAACAGATGGCAGGGAAAGGAGATTTCAAAGCAGTTGTGCTGTGGCTCCCATGTAGAATTCCTTTTGCAAGTTTCAGGAAATATAACAGGTAGAGGACTTGAAATTTAAATTTTATTTTATTTTCATAATCAACATACAATAGAGCTGACATTATTTGAGGGGATACAAGTTATAGGATTTATAATTGGATCCAACAACTCCTGAAAGGCCTCACTTCTGAGCACTGTGGCGCTGAGAACTAAAGCTTCAACCCATAAGCTTTTGGGGGACATTTGAAATCCAAGCCATAATACAATTCACGCACAGATCTGTTGAAATATTACCACAGTCAGTATGCAGAGCAGTTCCATCACCCCAGTGACTTCCTTCTCGCTGTCCTTTTGTGGTTACATTCTCACCCCAACCCTTCTTGGTGAATTGACCCTTTTATCATTATGTGATGTTCATCTCTATCCCTGATAATTTAAATTTCTCTTTGCTCTTAAATTAGCTTTGTCTATTGTTTTGTTCTGCCAGACTTATAGCTGGAGTTGCCCCAAAAGTTACGGAGGGAAGTTCTCAAAAGAAGGTGTCTCAGTCTACCCTGAGATGGGGCTGACTGAGATTCCAAAGAGAAAGCCCCAAATGCCAGGGTAATCGGTTCAAAGCATTTACTAGGGAAACTTGCAAAGTGTTACGGCTCGTCCTCATGATAGACAGTGAGAGAAAAAGAATGTTTTACCCAGGTGTGGCCTCAGGAAGGGGGCCAGGGTATAGAGTTTATCTGAGGATTTAAGAAATTCCAGCTGTAGGCCAGGGCCACATTTTCTCAGTGTTTTGGACAACAATGTGAATGCCTTTATCGTACCTGGGAGTGTTGAAAGCCCTGGGATGGGCTCAAGCCTGCTGGAGGACCCCAGAATGGGAGGACCTCTGCTGTGATTTGATCACAGAGCAGTTAAGACACTGTGGTTTTCACTCAGGAGAAAGTGAGGGGAGCCGAGGGCCCTTACGTGTTGTTGAAGCAGGTGCTCCTTTTCTCCTGCTCATGGCTGCACACTTATCTTTTTCCATCCATTTGCTTTAAACACACTGATATCATTATATTTGAAGTGACTGTATACACTAGAGTAATTAGAAGCAAACTCCATTTGGACAATCTCTAGTTTTGTGTGTTGGATTCAGGCCTATCACTTTACTATGTGTTTTCTTTGCATTTTCTTTGTTCTTTGTTCCTTATTTCTTCTTTTCTGGTTGCGTTTTAGTTATTCTAACTTTTTTTTAGTATTCTGTTTTAATTCTTCCTTAATGTTTATCACTGCATCTCTTTTTGCAGTTTCTTAGTGGTCACCCAGGGGATTACAGTATAAGCACTGTACCTACCTACACTCAGCTGACTTAGAATCAATATCTCACCACTCCTGGTAGAATGCAGAAATCGTCCCATTATGAAGATGCCGTTCCCCTTCCTTCTCATGCTGTGGTCATCTTACATTCAGTGGACATTGAACACCCTGCATTACCTGAAATTAATTTTGATCGCTTGACTCTCTTCTTTTATTGTTACATGACTCTGAGACCTGAACAAATATGTAGCTATAAACATGACATAGAGTGTGGTGAGCATGGTTTTTAAATAAATGAAAAAACATTTCCAGGGCAGATTTGTACTGATATCCACAAACTTGGTGTTGACAATGGAGTGTTACTGTGTGCATGTGTGTGTGTGTGAGTGTGTGTGTGTGTGTGTGTGTGTGTGTGTAGGATACTGGGGATCTGAAGCCAAAGGAGCTCTATCACAGAGCTACAGTCACGTCCCTTTTTATCTTGAGACAGAGCCTCTCTAAGTTGCCCAGGCAGGACTTGAACTTGTGGCCTTCCTGCCTCAGGTCTCTCAGTGCTGAGATTACAGGCCCACAGCACCTCACCCAGCTAGAAGGGTTCCCATTTTGTAACTGATTTTGAATGCTTGTTAACAGAAGTGAGAGGAAACTTGGAGAAGCAGGGGAAAGGCATTGCAACAGCTGCAGTGCAGATTAAAGGAATGCAGAAGCCGGCTTCTAGGCAGAGAATGAGGAAGCAAATAAATGGAGGATGGGGTGGAGAGTGGAGAGAGGTTTGGGAGTCTGGGCCTCAACTTCTGGAACAATTAGATACTTCATTTCTGGAACAATAAGACTTTGGGATAATTTTGTTTGAATCCCACCTAGGAAACATGTAGCCCTGTGAAGGTGATGGAACTCATGTAGTGGCACATAAGAAGCACTTCATAAATGGTGACGATTATCCTTGGCATGTTGTAAGTACTCGTCTGTGTGGTCTATGCCCTCCCAGATTTGTTCAAATAGCTGTTTTAATCCCCTTCCCTTGAAAAAAAAAAGACTGACCTGAGGTTCATTGTCAGAAATTTTTCATTGATACTCATTGTTGATTCTCAATTTTTGACTGGGCATTAGAGTTATCCAGGGACCCTGCGGTATGTCTGGACCCCTCCACAACTCTTTTTTTTTTTTTTTTCTTAAAGAGTATCTTGGTATGTTCTAAGCTGACCTCCAAGGGTTACCTCAAAATCATGATCCTCCTGCTTCAACCTCCCGAATCCTGGGATTAATGGAGTATAGCTCCACACCCAGCTAATCCTTCAGAGATTCTAACTTAATAGTCCAGTGAATAATGGTAGATAGGTAGACAGACAGGCAGGCAGGCAGGCAGGCAGTCAGACAGACAGACAGATTGACCCATTGAAAATTATTGAAGTGAGATATTTTTAGAGGGTCAGAGAGGTCCCAAATGGGGATAAATGTCTAATAAATGAAATTTCTCCATTCCCAGCTCTCCCTGAGAACAGTCTGTACTATCACAAATGTGCCCACACATCTGGTTTTTGATGTAATTTTCAAACATGCATTAAATAGAAGTGATTATACAGTGAAGCTCCATGTACTTCCATGAATGCTTGTTGCTCAGCTCCAAAAATAATCAGCATTTCATCAATCTTGGTTCATCTCTCCTATTTTTCCTCTTTTTTGTACTTGAATCATTTTGAGCAAATTCCAGATACCATGTTCTTTTACACTGTGTATTTTTTAAAGAGTAATTTTAATGCTGGTAGGGTTTAATATGCACCGGGCAAGACCTTTTGTGGGCAAATGGAGAACAAATTCTTCACAATGTTCCCTAGCAAACAAAGCCTCAGGATCCAACAGACATAGGGGTCATGCAGTATATCTGGCTTCTTCATGTTGCAGGGTTATTTGGTGTTAATGGATAGACAATAGCTCATGTAAATAAGAGATCAGTATCATTCAGTTAAGCTGAGTTTTCATAACTTTTTTGCCTCTGAGTTTTTCAAAATCTATACACACCACGAGTACAGTTTGATTTTCACAACATATCCATAATCACAAAAACACACCAATACTGTTCTTTAACAAAATTGAAAGCTGTATAGATTCAACTCCCCAGGGACTGGTGTGCAGTACTTCTGGACCACCCTCTGCATGACCAGAGGTCTGGCACTTTCCATTCAGACCCTCCATTTTCCCTTGGGCATTTGCTGCTGTGACATGGTGCTTCATATAAGTGGCCTCTAGAGGCCCAACATATGCCAAACTCTGATTTGGAAACATCTGCAGTGTAGCAATAGACTGTGGACAAGTGACACCAGGTCAGCTTCATTCTCAGTTGGAAAAAGAGAGCCAGACAATGGTCATTTGATGGGAGAAAGAGAAAGGAGAAGTATTTAAAATGTTTAGCATTCATTCCTTCAATGCATATTTATTGAACATACACCATGTGCCAGATGTAGTTCTTCTAGGTATTTGGAATACACTGACGAACCAGTTAGACAAAGATCCCTGCTATCATACAGCTCACCAAAGCAGTTATATTGTACTTCCGCAAGCAGCCCTGCTGATTTCTTTTGCCCATGTGTCTGTGTCACTCTCCCTGTCGTCAGCTCTTGCCATCATGCCTACCCTGCAATTCCCTTGTTTTAGGAAGACAGGACTATAGGAAGCAGCTACCAACAAGAGGCAGTGGGCAAGATGGGGAAGAGGTGTACTTCCCAGACATTTCCCAGGCCATCCCAGGCCCAGGCTGGACTCAGCCATTCACAGGTAAGTTTGACTTTTAGAAGAGAAGATGAAGAGGTCATTGCTAAAAGCACAGGCAAACCTAAGTGCTGGTCATCTGGTAGAAAACTCAAGGAGACGGTCTCAGACCAAATACCAATGGATGTTGTGCATGCAGCACAAAGGATTTGTGACAACCACAGTGGGATTTGGAGGTGAAGAGAGAAATCAGCAGACAGTCTTTCAATCCTTAGGCTGGTAATGCCCGTCAGCCTCTCCAACTTCCTCACTCCATCCTCCCACCACTGGGGATCTGTCTTCTGTTACTACAGTTTAGTTTTCATTTTCTAGGGTTTTATAGAAAGAGAATCCCTTTGTGTCTGACTTCTTTTGCTCAGCATTGCTACTTGGAGATTCATCCATGTTGTTGCCTGTGTCGATAGTTCCTTTCTTTTTATTGCTAGGTTGTATTTCATTGTATGGCTCTATAACCATCTGTATGTATTTATCTCTGTATGGATTCCTGCATAATTTGAAGTGCTTCCAATTTTCAGCTATAACATAAAGCAGCAAATACAGCTGCTACGCATGTGTCTGCAAGTCTTTGCATGGACGTACACTTTCTTTTCTCTTGGGTTATTGTGCAGGACTGTAATGGTTGGATTATAGTATTGCTTGTTTAAGATATTGCCCAACTAGTTTCCTAAGTGATTGTACTACTGTGTATTCTCATAAGCAATGCATAGGATGTCCAGTTACTCCACTTCCTTGAACATCTTTTCGTGTACTTATTTGCCTTTTCTGCATTTTTCTTTGGTGAAAGCTTTGTCTTTCACTTATTTTGGGTTCACTTTCTTTTTGTTAAGGTTTGAGGGGATTTTACATATTTTGGAAAACCTTTTATCAGCTATGTAGTTTATAAATATTTCCTCTCTGTAATTTGTCTTTTAATTCTCTTAACAGCATCTTTCGTACAGACATTTTTTGTGAAGTCTTAATTTTGATGGTCTAATTTATTATTTTTCTCTTTTGTGGGTGCTTTTGATATGTTCAACAACTTTTTGCTTTACCTTAGTTCACAGAGATTTTCTTCTATGTTTTAGAAGTTTATAGTTTTTGTTTTTATATTTAGGCATATGATCTGTTTCAAGTTGATTTTATTTAAAATGTTAGATATAGATTGAAGTTTTTTGATGAAGATACCTGGTTCTGTTATAAATACTATTTATTGAAAGGACTATACTTTTTTGACAAAATTACTTTTGCATCTCTGTCAAAAATAAATTCTTTTAATAAAGATCTCTGGATCTATTATTGAACCCTATTCTGTTGTATTAATGTAATTTTGTTTCTTGATGTCAACATTTCGTGATCCTTTGTATTATAACTTTGTAATGAGTCATGAAATCAGGTAGTGCTTTCTCATTTCCATGTGAATTTTAGAATGAATCTTTCAATTTCTTTAAAAATATTCCTGCTGAGATTTTGATTGGATTGTTTGAAGCTATGAATCAACTTGGGGGAAACTCATTTTAAAAATATGAAGTCTTCTGACCCATGAATATGGTATGTTCCATTACTTAGGATTTTCTTAATTTCCCTTAGCAATACGTTATAGTTTTCAATATGATTGAATTTTCTTTATCAGGAGGTTTTAAAATACAAATCCATTGTATTTAATAGGTAAAAGATTGTCATTGTTATATATTTCCTCCTGAGTATTTGGAGTTTGTACTTTGTAGGAAATTTGCCCTTTTCATTTAAATTTATTGAGCTTATTGGCACAAAATAATTCATAGCATTCATTTAATAACTTTTATTATTTGTAGAATCTTTGGAGTGTCACCTTTCCCGTTCTTTATTTTGGTCATTTTTGTCTCATATTTTTCTAATCATTCTAGCTACTAGTTTATGAATTTTATTTATCTATGAAATGACCATTGTTTTGGCATATTGCCTTATGTGGTTTTTCTTTGTTGTCATGTTCTGTTTAATTCATATGTCTTAGTCATACGTCTAGCTTTCCTGTTGTTCCATTTTGGTTGGAAGTAAATCTTTATGGCCTACTCTTAATTCCAAGAGGTTCAAATTGTAGTTTAATAAGAATCACTTGATGGAGCTTATTAAAATGCAGATCTCTGACAGCAATACAGGGCCTGAGGAAGTAGCAAAGAACTCCGACCATAATTTCAGAAATGCTGACTTTAGACCTTCTTTCACCTTTACCCTGTGTTATAGTGTTCTTTCCTGATCTCAAAGTGCTCTTGAATCAGATTGCTTGGTTCCAGTGCCATCTCTACTTATTACAGACTATGATCTTGGACATCTATCTTAACTTCCCTGGGTCAGCCTTATCATAACAATCTTCCAAGGTTATGGTAAGTACTACAGAAGATAAACCATGGAAAGTGCTGTCACATTACAGTAAACACTCAGCAGCTATTAGTTACTACTGTATACATTATCTCACCTGGTACTTATAAAAACCCATTTTATAGACAGAATTGGAAAGGGAGCTGTAGTGACAAAATAATTTTATTAGCAAATTATACAACTAAAACTGGAATCTAAATCTGACTTTTAGTCCAAAGTTTTCTCCTCCTCAGTTAACTGTAAGATCTAGTTACCAGCAGGGGAACAAGGACTCAGTGTGTGTATGTGTTTGTGTGTGTGTGTGTGTGTGTGTGTGTGTATTTGCAGTAATGTGGGGAAATTTTGCATTACCATTTACATAAGGGGCAAGTCAACTATTAAATTTAAACTTAATACGGGTTATCCCCCACCTGTGGGGTTTTGTATGCTAAGTCCTGAAGTATAATGCAAATTAAATCCTCTATTCCTGCACTTTCTTTGAGAACTCTTATTATACCACCAATGTTCAGCAAATTGAAAATACATATGAATGTTGGAGTGAAGGAGTAGGACTCTAGGGTTTTGATCTGGTTCCTTTGTTATGTCCTTTAGTTCCACCCTCATCCTGCCTGTCCTAGTATAACACATTCAGAAACTCTTCAAGTGTAAAGTTGTTTATAATACAGAATAGTATCTATTCATGGATAAAGTAAGTTACAAGCACACAACCTTAAGCCACTCAACTTGCTTGTTTGGTTCAGGTTGGAAGTATTGAACAGCTCATTCCAAGTGATCTATTTCTTCACCCCCTGTTTCTTGCTTTTAAAATTTTAATTTAAAAATAATTTAATTTTAAGTCCATCTCCAGACTTTCTCTGCATCCTCTTTGTAAGTTGCTGTGGTTTAAGGGGAAGCAAGATATATTTTTCTGTTTAGAATAGGTTCCATCAGGCTCATTTCAATATCCATGTATAAATAGTAGTGAAGACTTTCACTCTATCAACTAGACATAGGGGAGTTTAGAATGGAGGATAATAAAAGTACAAGCCTTAAAGATTTAGTGCCGAATTACAGTGGTTAATAAGTTTGAAATTAATCAGGGCTCTTCCCAGTTTGAATCACTTGTGGTACAGGGCAGGTAGAGAGTAGTTTGTGGGTGTGCTCAACCGTTATGCAGCTGGCCCAAGTTCACTTGCATAGCTGACCTCTGCATTGGACTTAATCAGTGATACATGATAACAAAGATGAGTGGATTTCATCGCAGAAGCCAGTTTCAGCAGCCCGAGAGTGGTTCCTACAGCACCAGCAGCACAGTTACTGACCTTTATTGCTGACTTCCAATGTCATTGGAGAGTTTGCTGTCTGTTACAGGGTCAGCCTCCCTGAGTCCAGCATGCGTCACCCTGTGTGTGTACAGAGCTATGTGTATAGTCAACAGGGCAGAGAAGGGAAAAGAAAAGAGTAGGCAGAGCTCGACCTAAGCTGTCTCTGCAGCAGGATCAGGAGTCATGCTCCATTTAGTCACACATGCACAGCTCTCCAGGCTCTTTATCTATGCCACCTGTATATGCTCATGACAACCCTTTAGAGAAAGTGGTGCCGGCACTGATATTTCCATTTTACAGAAGAAGCCTGCAAGGACCCTGATCACACAACCTGGCTTGCTGACCAGGTGCCCCAGAGGAGATCCTGTTTCACTACCAGTCCTTGGCCTTCACTCAGAGAGGAAGGATGGAAGCGCAGGAAGGGCAGTAGGTCAGGAGTCAGGAGATGTGGGTCCCAGGCCAGGCCCTGTTGCAACAGGTTGGATGGTCTTGGGTGACTCGTACACCTTACAGAAAATGTGGAACTTGGGTGAAAGGGGCGATTATTGATCTTCAGTAGGGGTGATAAGATATGGCTGGACCTGCCTGGCAAGCTGCTGGGGTGAACCTGTTGGAAATCCGTATGTAACATGCCAAGGAGCCTCTGGGAGAGAATAACTGCCTACTGTCACAATTCCTTCTCAGCTGAGCTTTGTGACTCTCTGGAGTCCATATCATGGGACTGGGGGAAGGAAAATGATGCCAATATTACTTGAAAATTTGAGGACATTTATAAAATAGTAGATAAGCACAGATATACCATACAGAGTAAAAAGAAACAGTTGCATACATTTTCAAGATAAAAAGAGATTTTCAAGACATTGCTTGTTGCAGGCAGATCTCTCCCAGCTCCGTCTGTGGACTCTGCTTCTGTTATTAAGATGTGTTGGTAACAAGTATCCCAAGCAAGGGAGGCGGCAGGCCCATCCAACCTGAAACAGGAGCAAAGCCTTAGGTGGGGAATGGGAGAAGGATCCTGAGCACTGTGGTCTCCGTTGCTGCTCTGCCTCCCAGCTACGCTCTATGAATTCCTACCTGAGTGGACTCTGCAGTTGGAAACAGGAAACATTTCCCTAGCACCCTGCATGGTGCTGTGACCCAAGCAGTATGGCCTTGTGGGTGCCGGGATGAGGGGAATACTGGGGTGCAGGGGCATGTCCCCAGTGCTGGCACTGACCACTACACAGCCTGCCATGCTCGAGTGGCTTTAGTGGTGAACACTGAAGATCATCCTTGCAGGAGGTGGAGGTGCAGTCCGGTGGGCGGTCATGCTGGAGCGGGTGTGCAGGACAGCCAGCCCTTGCCTTTCCCAGTCATCCCTGGCCTTGTTTGGGAGCCCAGGTGAGATACCCTTTGGGGGTTCCTGCCAATGGAAGGGAGAATGGAGTGTGTGGTAGGGGTTAAAGCCCTGAGCTGGCTCAGGGTCAGAGGAGAGTGGCAAGAAGAGCTACGTTTTGTTCACTGCACTTCATGCACTGCTTTTGTTCCCAGAGGCAGCTGAGATGTGGAATCTCTAGCTTCATTGTTCCTCTCACATCCCCAGTGGCTTCCGGAGGTTATAATGGATTGTTTTAAGTGTTTCAAAAACTCTAATGGAAATTACAATATGTCTGTTTTCTGCTTTTTGCACACCCAGTTATGGATGTGTTTGATTAATAAATCATGGATAAATGAACTAATTCCTTAATGACTACAGCCTCCTTGGCAGAGAATACATTTTTTTTAAAGAGAATAAGAAAATAATAATTTTAAAAACATTAGAAACAATACAGAGTCTCACTAGACAGGATGGTAGGAATTCACCAATGGTTGTTCCACTGCATATTGTTGTCTTCACAGCAGTTGCTCAGATTACCAGACATAAGCATGCAAAATTGGTCAAATTATAAAATAAATTTAAGCATTAACTGTTCCTTTCAACAAACCACATCAGCAGTGCAGTTATCTCAGCTATCCAGATAGCTATGTCTATATATCTATACCTATATATCTGTATCTATCTTGCCTTAGTTCTTTCTTTTTCTCCTGTCCCTCATCCCAGTTGTTCCTTCCTGTCGTATCATCTATTGTACATGTTGGGTTTTATTTATTCTTTTATGTTCTTACACTAGGGAGACCATATGATGTTTACACACAAGAATACTTTTGAAGACAAGAGGTGGGGGAGAAAAAGAATAAGAGGGTTTGATGCTCACAAGGTTGGTAACGAACATGGCACCAGAAGCTCTGCAGAGTTCTCTCCAGAAAGGACCATCTCACAGGAAGGGGACAAATCAACCAGAGCTGCCAATGTATGGGGCAGCAATGGAGTAAGTACCTGGACGATACTATTGCCGTTTGTGCCCATCACTGCGGACTCAGGAAGAAAGTAGAGCAAGAGCAAGAAGCAGGTGTGTGTGTACGTCTTACTACAGAGATTTCTGTTTCTCTCTTCTGAGTCAGAATGTTCAAGGCAGACAATAAGCTCTGGGCAAACCTACCACGGGGGCTTCCTACTTGGGGAAATAGAATTGTTCAGCCCAGTGGTTCTCAAACTGTACCCTTTATCAGAATCACTGGGAGGACTTCTGAAAATGCAGACAGATGGGCTTAACTGCTAGAGCTCCTAATTCAGTAGGCTTGGGGTGAGACTGGGAATGGGATGCCGATGTTGGTCAAGGAAGACTACCCTTCGAGACACGCTCTTTTCCTCCACTCACTCCCATCCCAGCTTCTCTCTTCCACACCTGCTGCAGTTCTTGCTCCTCTTCCCAGTCTTTTTTGAATCTCCCCCTAAACCACTTCCTCCCTCAGTACCTGTCATGCTTTGATCTGTCTGGATTTCTCACCTGCCTCCCTCTTCTTGTTCCATACACCAAACCCAGCCATACCTCCCATCCCACCTGACGCCACTCCCAAACAATGAAACGCTTCGTTTTCTTGAAGACTGAAGTGCAAAACAGACAGGAGGAATAACCAGTGCATCCGCCTCACTGGCAAGAGCACCAAGTGCAGGCAATGTGGGACTGTATAGGACGGCTGGAACATGCGGTTCCTCACAGCTGAAAGAGCTGCCTGCGGTTGGTGTAGCTTGGCTGGACTTCATGTGACAAACAGCAGGACAAGGTCTGCTTTCCTGCTACCAGGCAGAGGGTAGAGGACACGGAGTCACACGAGGCCTCTAGGCAGATCCAAGTTCAGTGCCCACAACCCTTTAGGTTAGAAGTTCTAACGCTTGATGGAACATGTATCAGAATCCCCCAGAGGGCTTGTTCAATACCATCACTGGGCTCTGCCTCCAGAGCTGGTCATTTAGCAAGTCATGGGTAGAAGGAGAGTAGACTGACTAACAATCTTGATTTGCGGAGGACCAAGAGGGTTCTCAGGATGTGAGACCATCAATACAAAAACCAGGGAAGTCTTGAGGGAACAAGGATAAGGTGATCGCCTTACCTGGGGCTGGAACATGTATTTCTACCATGTTCTCAGGTGAGGGGACTATTGCTGGTCCCTGGGCTGCAATTTGAAAACCACAGCTTTCCTATTCCCAGACAGTCACAGAGGGACCAGAGCTGGGTGCTGTATGCCTGGACTCTTCACCAGAGGAGACTTAGTCCAGCCTACAAGTAGTAAGGAAGGTACACGTGGACTTGGGGAAGAAGGATCACAGGTTCAAGACTGATGGTGGTGAGGATGACTGGTCAGAAAGATGGGGTCAGGGCTAAGAGGACACGGGAGCTAAGGCTGTGTGTCAGGGGCATGCCCTAGTGAATTCAGTCCAAGGGCCTGTGTCCTTCTCCCTGTGGAAGAGGACTATGGCTTGGGCTGGAAAGGAAAGCTATCATTTCCTGGGGCTGGGGCTAGCACAAGAGTTTCCAGTTTGGAGAGAGAGAAGTGAGGAAAAAATGAAATAGAGATAATTCCAAGCTGGGTGTGTACCTGGGAAGCAGAGTCAGGCCAAATGCAATGGCTAAGTGGTTAACTTGTGGAGTAGTGCAAAAGGTCTATATGCTAGTCATGTCTCCTCATGCTGACTGGGGGAGTTGTGAGGCAGGCAGCGCAGTGAGGGGAGCCCAGTGCAATCCATGCATCCTACTACCCACTCCCTTTCCTGGAAGTTACCAGATTCAAATATAAAGCATCTCCCACTAGGGCCATTCTTTGGGACCTAGGTGGAATGAGGCCAGAGGTGACTATTTGTTGCATAAAGGAATGAACGTAAGCATGAGACTATATGGTTTTCGTAGAGTCAGTCACCATTGGACTTCCCTTTGTTTTAAAAAAAGCACTTTCTTTCTCAGCACTTGGGAGGCTGAGGCAGGAGGGTTGCTGCCAGTTGGAGACAAGCCTGGGCTACATGGTGAGTTCAAGGCCAGCCTGTCTCAAAAAAACGCCTCCAAAAAAAACCAAAAAAAAACCAAAAAAAAAAAAAAAAAAAAAACAAACAAACAAAAAAAAAGAGAGAAAGGAAGAAAAGAACTTTCTTACACAGCAAAGCTTTGGTATCCTCAGACTCATATTCAGCATTCTGAGCCTTTATCCCAAGCCCCTCCCCCAAAGGGATGATTGGCTGTTATCCTTGTTTTTTTGGTTGGCTTTCATCCCTCTTGTGTGGTGACCCTGCCAAGAGACTTCTAGGAGTCTCGGACCATCCTATTCAACTCATAAACAATTTCCGTCAGCTATTAGTTGGCACCTACTGTTTCATCTTTCTTCCAGATGAACAGGGTGTCTATCAGGAACTAACAGCCAAGTCTATTCTGGACACTTTCGATGGCTGAAATGCAGATGCCAGTATTAGGGATTTTATTTTCATTTTCTTCCTAAAAGCCAATCTACTCCTTTGTACAGCCCTTCTTTCCTGAGAATAAATATAGATTCTTGATAGATGAAAGAAGCTGAGCATGCCTGCAGAAAATCTCTTTTACTGGGGCAAACTTGCCTGCCTAACTCCCTTTACCCTTAGGTTAGTTTTTACCCATAAGGCTCTTTGGCTTTTTATGCAAATATATTTCTGAGTCTACCTCAGTCTTGATGAAGTCAGTTTGTGACCCGACCACAGTAAGGTCCCCTTCTGCTCCCATATTGTAACTTCACCGAGAGATGGGTTGAGTCTGAGGGGCTTTGCTAGAATCCCCATTTCCTCTGGGCTTTTTGGGTCCCCATGAGTCATGTCTGCAATAAACTATGGGAATGAGGTTATGTATAGATTTAATTGTTAGTGACAGGCTTTACTCTAAATAGCTTTTAAAATGACAGGTCCTAGAGTTCTAGGATCATTATGAGCCTGATGAAATGGTTTAAGATTTATGGCTGTATGTTTTGATTTCTACAAAGGGAAGACGGGGCATTCTAAGTTATTTGGCAGTTCAGGGGATTGCAGATGTCTCAGAAAGTCTGATTATTAACACTTGTTCATTGATGAGGACCACCTACAAGGCCACTCAGCCTGTAAGAGGCAGGGTAGGCTGAATTCAGGTATGTGAAAAATGCCATCTGTCTCCCTAGGGAACCAATAGGAAGAGGGGCTGGACAGATGGACCTGAGGAGCAGTAGGAGCCACCATCCCGGCTCCCTGGAAAACTTTCTGGGAGGACAAGCCTTGATCAGACATCGCCCAGCTTAGTGGGCCCCACCTGTCTCCTCATCCCTGCCCAAGCCCTGCCTGCATGCTGGGCACCCATGCACTCAGCTCTCAGGCATCCGGAGTGACGCGGAGCAGCGTGGAGTCCTGCTCATTCTCTGGCACGCAGCGCAGCCAGGTTGGTGCCTGAGGCGTAAAGATACGTGACTCACTGGCAGCGTGAGCATGCCTCATTTCCCCTGGCCAGTGCCCTGTTTGCTTGCTTGCTTGCTTGTTCTGCCTGAGGCTCTGCAAGGCTTGGGAGAAGCTAGTCAGCCATTTCTGGAGGGGATGAGGACTTGGGTTCCAGACTTGGACTTGGGGCTTTTAGCTACTTGAACTTATAAAAGCCACTTCACTTGCAGGCTTCCGTTTCTCAGTCTCTGAAGTGACCGGGTTGCTGAAGATCTTTGCTCTTCATAGGTTACAGCCACCACCACCAGTGGTACCTACCTTTGAGCTTGTGAGAAAGGCAGCATGTCAGAGCCTCTGCAGACCAACTGAATCAGAATTTACATTTAACAAGATCTGCAGGAGATCTGCATACAGTTGGAGAAGCACAGCTTCATGATCTCTAAGATTGTCTTCCTTGCCTTTGTCTCTAATTCTGTGCCCTAAGGAGTCTCGGCACTGTTTATGTAGACAAGCAGTTATGCGCTGAGCCTCATCCCACAGGCTTACCCTCCAATTTCCACATGCACTGTCTGAGTGTGCCTTCTCAGTGCCGGCTTTTTAAAGGTGGCTCTAGGGTAGTCAATGATAAATTCCAGAAGTCGCTTCTCTGTGAACCTCTGTTTTGTTCCTGAGAGCTAATCCAATGGCTAGTAAGCAATCAGCTGGAATTCATTTTAATTCACTTCCTGTCCTATTATCACATATTTACTTTACCCTCACTTTCTAAAGGACTGGTCAGATGCTCCACCTTGCAAGTGGGTGTCTTCAAACATAGGAGAAAATTTAGGAGTCAAATATATGGAAGACCATCGTGTATGCATTTCACTGCCTTTAAATGGTACAGTAACAGATACGGGAAGGAGAGAGAGAGAGAGGAAGAAGTAAATAAAGTGGGAAATCCCTGGAGTGAGTGTGCTGTGTGAGGTGGGAATCAGCTACTGCTCAGCCAGTCTCAGCTCTTTCGGTCTCTTTTAGACACTAACATATGTTCTGGGTTGCGTGTGATCCTATTTTTTCAAATTTGCATATTTTGAATAATGTGGCTTCTGCTAAGTGAAAGCCAATGATTGCATTTGGTATCCAGCCAAAGAAACAAAAAACAGAATTTAAAAAAAGCAAAAAAAAGAAAAAGAAAAAGAAAAACAAAACACCCAACTGGTCTCATGAAGAGAAATTATGAAGCCTTTGACACAGTATCTTCCTGAGAACAGAGTGATTTTGATTATTTACAACTTTTCTTTCTATGCTTGTTTCTGAATCCCAAGTAAGAGAAGATGCCCTCTCATGGTATACAGTCAGCTCAGAAGCTCAAAGAAATGCCATTTAGGATGATCAATGAAAGTACATGTGAACATAGTCATGCAAGGTTCTGAATAGGAGAGAAATCTTTTTTTTTTTTTTTTTCCAGTACCGGGAATCAAACTCATGACCTTGTGCTTGCCAGGCAGGCACTGTGCCCTGGAGCTAAATCCCCAGCCCCAGGAGAGAAATCTTTCTTTCAATGCCTTAACTAGAATGTTCTTCCCAGAAATATTTTCAGATTTCTGAGTCTGTTTTAACTCTGAGGAGCCAGGCTGGTGGCTGAGGACAGAGATGGCGGGAGACTGCACAGCCTTGGGGTAATGTTTGTTCTGCTTCCATCACACCATACTCTATGCATTAGAATTTCAGGATTTGCATGACAGGTTCAGTGAATAGTAAGGTAATGCCTTAAAACTGGGGTTTTGAGAATTATTATGAAATCATGCAGACTCAGAATTATGTTGTCATGAGAAAACACCAGTCCAAATCCACTTCTTTATTGACTTAACTGCCTCATAACATAAAAGATATGAGGCGTTTTAAAGCAAACAAACACACATTTGAAGGGGTGGCAATATAAATACAAATTACAAAATTAGACTCTGGGAAATATAAATTAGTGGGGCAGGTCAAGCCTGGGTGACAAAGCAGAGCACATCTATTAGACCAGCCGAGGAATGCTGGCCCTCACAGTTGCTGTAGTTGGGCTGCACTTGACCACATGCAATTTTAGGTGAAAATTAAGTCTTGGCTTTCAGGTCACGAGGAGAATGACACACACAGCACAGCAGAGACTGAGCTTGCCTGTGAGGAAATTGCCTAGAGGGCTTCATCTGACTTCAAGCTCAATATGAGCCACCTGCCTGGCCTGGCTGTGCAGAAGGGTAGGGCTGCAGGAAGTGGGCTCAGGAGCCCCACTGAGAAGGAGAGAGTCCTCTCCCACACAGCACTGGCTTCCATTCACATCTCAAACCAGCATATTGGAATATGGTACCACATGCCCACTGGGCAGTGTGGGCAGGGTGGAGCCCTCCAGGGGCCCACAAGGTCTGTCCAGCCAGCCAGACAAACAGCAACAATGTTAGGGAACATGTGCTTTCAGGGGATCCTCTTTGGACTTTTGAGCTCAGTTCCAATTGCTATTTTTTTTTTTTTTTTCAAAGGACAATGACCAAAAAAGCAGCAGAGATGTGGCTTCTCTCTTGGCATGTAGGCCCACAGCAGCGTTGCTGCCATAAAGACCCCGCTAGGGGGACTTCACGGCTTCTCAGGCTCTCCACCAACAGCGGGGGCAGCAGCGGCAAACGTCAGTGGTCTGGCAGAGTTCTGGGCTCTAGACAGAGTGGCATTCAGAGACGTTCACGTCATCCTTGTGGGTGCTTCGAAAGCCATGGCATTGCAGCCTCTGGCTCTTCCTGGAGATTATCAAAGGATATGCTGCAAAGGGGAGCATCTCGCCTTGAGTCTTCTCCATCAGGCAGGACCTACATTGAGTAAAGGAACATGAAACGCATCAGCTGAGACCCGGCTTCATCATTTCAAGCTTGTGTGTGGTGAGACAAGCGTAGTTCTTGAGGTAGCCAGAATTAGGTTTGGATCCTGGTGCTGCTCTTCGATAGTATACTTCCCTTGGACTAACCCTGAAACTGAGGCTCAGTCCCTCACCTCACCCTGTGAAATGGGTTGGAATCCCTAGCTCAAAAGGTGTAAACCATGACTGAGTTCACAAACATTAAGTGACTGGCTGAGTACACTGCACTGTGTGTTCTCCCCTCCCTTCCTTGCAGCCAAGCGAATGATTTTGCTGGGCTCCAGGACTCCCTCTGTTCCTAGCAAGCACATGGTCAGCGGCCTACCTTCATTTATCACTTCGCTGTCCTCTTTATCTGTCTACTGGGTTCCTCTCCTCCACTTACCACTCTGCTCAATTTTCTGTATCTCTTCCTCTAAAAATACCTCAAACCAGATATGCCACCAGGCAACAGCTCTGCCTCCCTAATTTCAACACCAAATACTTGGAAGTCTCTTCGGCACCCACTCTTTGTGCCTCCCACTAGTCACTCCTTAAGTAGCACTAATCTGACCTCCCCCCATCTACTGATATAGGCTCATTGCCAAGACTTGTCATCTTGCTGTAGGTTTCAATTTCTTGAAGGCATTTGAAGGTCATTTCCCCCAGTCTTAATGTGATCCCTAAGGTTCGGTGTCCTCTTTCCTCCCTTCATAGTATCACTCCCATATTATCACTGGGAACTTCTGTTTAGGCTCTCCATGCTGCCTTCTTCCCCGCACTTCCCAAATACAGGCTATGGGTGGGCCAGAAGTGGGCCGATGTTTTGCCTAAAGAGCCAGGTAGTAAATATAATAATCTTTACAGGGCTACATGACCTCTGTTGCAATTACTCAGTGCTGCCATGAAAGCATAAAGAAGCCATGGTCAATACATAAGTCAATGAATTGGCTGAGAGCCAGTAAAACTTTGCTTACAAAAGAGGAGGTGGGTCCAGTTTGGCTATGGGCCATATTAGCCAGTGGTGTCTAGTGGAAAGAGGATAAACAAGAGACAGATATACCAGGTTTCCTCTGACAGGTTGGTGAAATACTTCACCTCCCTGCTCCTTATTATCCTTATCTGTGAAAGGATAATAAAATGATGATGGTGACGTGGTGATAATACTTTCCTCAAGGTGTTGTTAACAGGGGAATCGAGATAATGTGAAGTATCCTCCGGCTTAGTCCAGTGAATTTTAGTTTTCCGTTTTCTCCTCTCTCCTCCCTCTTTTGGTTCGTCTCTCTGCTCTCACAATACCTGTACCCTCCCCTGCCTTCTATAATTGCATTCACAATCATGTCTGCAATCCCACCTCCGCCTCCACGTCTGACCTCTCTTCTGAGTTAAAAATCTGTACATTCAAATTTGGGCATGGTGGTGCACACCTGTAAACCCACAGCACTCTGGGAAGCTGAGGCGGGGAGATTGAAAGTGTGAGCCAGCCTGGGCAACCTAGTAACTTTGCAAGACCCTGTTTCAAACTAAAATTTAAAGGGTTGCAGGGGTTCTGGGGATGTAGCTCAGTGCATAGGCTGTGGGTTCAAGTCCAATATCACAAAACAAAAACAAAAAATGTACACATTTGAGGAAAATCAGTATTTCCACTGCACTTGTGTCTAAAACTCTCCATGTTGAAGAGGAAGTGCCTCATTTAACCTAACATGCCTTCTCCTGGCCTCCTGCCGTGGAAGTCTTTGGCATTGCTTTGCTCCTGGAAGAGACTGCGACAGGCCTCTCCTTCAGCTGTCTCTGCCCCTTTCCCCTCCATCCACGGCCATCATTTCCATGAAAGTCTTATTACTCACACCTGGTGTTTTTGAACACTGTCTGTATCTCTGCCATTCTCCTCATTAACCCATGGTGCTCAGGATGCCAAGTTACTCGTTCTCGGGCAGAGTGGAGTCACGACATTCTCCAGTCTGTGATGTCACTGAAGGCTCCTCCATCCTCTCCTGGCGTTCAAAATCCTATATGGTCAGCACTGAAAACCCTGAACCCCAAGCCCAATGTGTTTGCCCAGGATTTTCTGGACTCATTAATTCTTCCATCTCTGCAGCCTTTCCTTTGCCTGGACAACCCTGCCCAGTCTATCTCTGGCTGTCGCATTCTTATCTATCTCCTTACTATCGTTATCTGTGCGTAGGCTCTGGGTAGGCTCTGGGTAGCAGCCAGGCCAGATATTTAAAAATGCTGTGGCCAGACACATGGCCCCTTGACTCCCCTTGAGGCTCTGTGCCCCATCCTAGCTTTCAGAGCCTGCTTATGATTGTGCTTATCTCCCAGAATGCATTTTCCTGTGTACTTTTGTGAAGCATTGTGTGCTTGTGTTCTCTCTCCCTTTTGATTAAAAATTCCCAGAGAGATTTGACAAATGTATCACTGTGTACCTGGTCCCAGTGCTGCGTCTGGCTGGCCACAAGTTTATGTAGCAGGTGCAGGGGCTTTTAGCCTGCTCACCTCTGGGCAGACTTGGTAGCTCCCCTGCCTCCTCCATGGGCAGAGTCTGTCTGTTGGGAAAAGCCAACGCAGAGGAATAAGTTTCACTATTCAGGGCTCTGGCTGTGAGTGAGCCTTTCATGCTTTTGATTTTGGGTTCTGGGTAAGCCTGTGTTTCTGGGTGGGTGTGCAGCAGTTGTGAGTGTATGTACATGGGGTGCTGTGGGTGTGATTTGGTTTATGCAAATGTGGGGGGTGCTGTGCTGGTGTGTATATGAACATATATGTGCAGTATATGCATATAGGGTGCTCATGCATTAATTAGGTGAAGGAGCAGGTGTGTGTGTGTGTGTATTGTTGGATGTGTTGGATGCATGGGAGAGCAATACGGAAAGTGGGCATGTGTGTAGGGTGTATGTGAGTGTTTGTGGGGTGTATAACCTCAGACATTCTGTTGTAAAAGAACAGAAAAGAGTCCTCACCTGGCTTTCCCTGGGGACTTGTGCTTATCTATGGGAGAAGCCTACGAAGTAGAACATGGAGCAAATGGTTTTGGAAATACAGCTACTGAGTGATAAAATCAAGGGGCAAATGTCGTACTTGGTGCCTAATCAGGGTATAGCAAAGAGCCACTATTAAGCCTCTGGTAGCCTTTGAGGTTCAGTGGCCAGGCTGCTGTCCCCTCCAGAGAAATTACAAGGGAGAGACCCTGCTCTCTCCACACCAGGCCAGGAACACGAGCTCCTTATGTGAGGACAGAGCGGAGCAAGTGCTATGAACCTCACCTTACTGAGTCCTTGAAGGTCACACAAGGAATGGTGGCATCAACTCTGAACTGAGAAGTCCACATTCTCTCCTTCTCCTCTCTGTCTGACAAGGGAAGAACTGGCACAGCCAGTTACAATCTGCCCATAAATCATAAATATGATTCGTGATTACACCCTGGCCAAAGGTCATGGGGCTTAAGGGAACTGACACTAGCTGTTCGTGAGAAGTGGTTTTCAGTATCACAGGCTTGTGTTCACACAAAGTCTTATACACGAGCTCAGTACATAGAACTAGCTAGAGTGTAGCTATTCTGGTAAGCTGAGGGGTGTGGTGGGGAAGGGGAGGCTGCTGGAGTCCTGGCCCTCACTGTGCCCTGACCCCATTCTCCTGGCCCCGCCAGTTTGAAACTTCCCTTCCATAAAGACCAAAAGTCTCATTGTAAAGGGAGGTAGAATGAATTGTCCAAGGTCACAAGTGCAGCCCCATAAATGAGCAGCCTCCTGAATGGCTGGTCTCAGCCACACTGACCTGTCCCTCTGGGCCAGCCCTAAAACCCTGCAGGGGATGGAGGGGCAGAGGGAATCTGGCTGGACAGGTGAGCTGGCTTTGAGGGCTTCCCCAACATGGAGATCAGGGAGGGAAGGAGTGAAGGTGCTATTTGCAGGACTGTGATCAGTGAAAACTGCAATAGATCTTTCAGCTTCTAGTGTGCTGAGCTGAAGCAGAAACCTGGCCTTCTGGGGAAGCACATACTTTCCCTCCTATGAAAAATCTTAATACCACATACACTGTCTTAAGAATTGATAATAATGGCTCAAGGTCTCCCCTTGGAGAGATCTCCCCTTCTGCCCTAAGCCAGATTTCTGCCTGGTGCCCCAGGTTTAACTATGTGCCCTTTGCTTTACTGAGCCACTCACTGTGTTGATAATAATATCGACAGATAATAATCCACTTAATCTGAGCAGTATCCTTAAGAAGGAGGGGTGATTATTAATCACATCATCTCCACTTAACAAATTTGGAAATTGAGGCATGGAGAGGTGAAGTAACTCACTCCTTGGGTCACATAGCTAGAAAGGAACAAAACTGGATTCAGATCAGAGACCGTTTGGAACTTGCCCACCACGGTCCTTACCTATGGGCTGCTGGACATCTGTTGGCTGAGGGAGCCAGGCAAGGGTCCTCACACCAGCCATGGGCCTCAGCTCCTCAACTCATGGGACTCAGCATAGTCACCACCTGTGCTGAGGTCTGGGTGATCTTTAGTACACACAGGCTCAGTTACCCCTGGCACCACAGGCACCCCTGCTCCTGCCTGTGTGTATTCCATCTGGGCAAGCGTAAGTTAATGGCTTCTTACTGTCTGTAGAGTAACAGCCAACATCTTCAAGGGGGACCTCAAGCCTCTGCCAGATTCAACCTCTCCTATCACAGGGTCTAACCCTCTCTAACGTTTGTCCTCTGCCTCTCTGTCTCCCTGCTCCTGCAGGACCTATAGCCAAGCTATTTGCCTATAGATTTTCCAGTCCTACTCTTCCTTTGGTGTTCAACCTGATGTCACTACCTTCTGGGTCCATTCAACATGGTATGTTCTCATGGCTTAATGCTTCTTTCCTCCCTGCTCCTCACCTGACTTGTTATTACACGGCTATTAGTGTAACTGTTTGATTGAGATCTGTTGTTCTCAACCCTGACAGTGAACTCCCTGCGAGCAGAGCCTCATTTGCCTTGGCGCCTCCAGGGCCTTACACATTAGCTGACCCGTGTCAATGAAACGGCATACCAGCAGGGGTGATAGTCTTTGCTTTGAAATTTCATAATGCGAAGTACGAGCTGACCCCCTCTATTACTAACTTCAAGGACACAAAGTATTCTCAAATTAGATTCTGGTTCCTTTTACTCACCTCAGACCACACACTAAATAACAACACTTGACATTTGTGGGAAATACATCGTTTGCAAAGAGTCTTTTCCTGCCTTGCCCATTTTTGGTTCTTTTTACAGAGGCGTAGAATACTACCCTCCATTTATAGTAAAAAATATTGCAGCTCACAGGGTGATGAAGCCTGCCCAGGGTTACCCAGCTAGGTATGGGAGCTCAGAGTGGGTCCCAGGTATTCTGATGCCCCATCTCTTTCCTCATCACCTGCCAGGCGCTCCACGGAGACCTTCTCCGTGTGCTGCTCTTTACTCTCAGTTCTGAGAGAGTCAATCTCCCATAAAAAGAACAACCATTATTTCCTTCTTCCAATTCAACAACGACCTTTGCGTCTACATCTCCTAATCAAAAGGGAATGCCTGGCTGCCCCTGACTGCAGGTCCAGGCCCATCTGGGGAAGAGGAAATGGTAATCAAAATAAGCAAAGCTCCAATTGCAGTTCTCTGGGGACACTGCCCATCTCTAATTCAGAGCTGTAACGGCCAGAGCAGTACTATCTTCTGGACACTATCTCTGTTGAAGATAGATCACAACTCTTTGCCCCTTTGGCACCATACAGTTAATGAGCCGCTTGCGAGGCTGTGACACATGGCTCAGCAGATGAAAACCGGAATCCACAGTCTGCTGGCCTCTGAGGCTGGCCCAGGCACATGCGTTGCTTGCATATCGTGTGTGTGAGGAGGGTGGGGTAGGGGCACTGCTAAGTGGACATGGGGGCTGGACCTGACCCTCCCAGTGTGCCCAACCTGGGCAGGTACAGGAGGAAGCAAGTGAGAGGGGCCGTTCTGGATGGCTCCGCTCTGCTTGCTCCCGCACAGCCTGCGCACGCACCTCCAGGCATGCAAGGGCATAGCAGCTGCCGGAGAGCTTTCCATCCTCTCCTTTTGCTACAAACCTTTCTTTCCCCATCAAGGATTCTCCTCAGTGGAGAATCAGGATGGGTTCTATTCTCTCGAGCTCTAAACTAAAGGTATACTTTCCCCTTCTGGATGGCCAGCAGTGTCATTCATGGTATAGAAGAGGTGGAAGGGGTTGTAAAGCATCTCTGGCCTCTGTGAAGATGGTTTCCAGAGAAGAAACACCCGCTCCAGGTTCTCCTCACTGGTCCAGTGCAGCATTGACTACCACCCACAGAATCCCTAGTCAGGGTATAGTCCAGCTGCTTGCCTATTCTGTCCTGGCCTTTCCCTGCTTGTCCCAGCCTCCGTGCCTACCCTGCCAGGCAGGACTTATATGCACTCACCTGGTCCCCATGGGACATCCTGGAAACTGCAACATGTTGCTGCCCGCTAGCTCCAGGTTCCTGGCTGCATGTGGCATATATATTTCTTCTCTGCCCATGGCCAAGCTAGAAGTCCAGTTTCTCAAGAGGCACTTCGATGTTGAAGGTATACCAGGAGACCCAGAACAGCAGACTGAAAGCCAGGAACAGGGCCCCTGTGAAGACCAAGAAGTCCCAGTAATTCAGAGTGGCAAAGATGCCCAGCAGCAAAAGCACCAGGCCCACAGTGTCACACAGGAGACCGAGGACAAGGATGAGCACACAGCGACCAGGATGGCATTTTCCACAGGGCCTACCCAGGAGCATTGCCCAGGAGCAGCAGGAGGAGTCCAGCTGCACTCCCAGTCCTGATTTGCATGTGAGGTGGCAGTGCTGCCTGCTGCTGCCTTCTCTCCCTCTGGGTGTGGGCAAATGATTGAGCCAGCGTGTCTTGGAGCCACAAGGAAGTACACGTGGGTCCACTTTTATGAGTCCAGCAGCCAGTGGGGCAGGATAGCTCTTAACTGTTTCATGGTTCAGGAATGAACTCAACCCAAACAATCTGATGTCACTGATGATTGGGCGGGTCCTGGCTAGAACCAGCCCAGCTATGTGGCAGAGGAATCAGGGTGCCTTTGAATGGGTTGGGCAATTCAGGGTTA